GAAAACGAAAAAAATTCACAGTTATGAAAATATTAATTGCTCTCTCCACCATTTTGAACTAGAACGATTCAAGCAAGAAGGGGAAATTCCCGTCATTCAATAAGGTGGGTAGGTGGAGAAGAAAAATTCATTTCCTCCTTACTTGTCATTCAAGTTGAGGGCGGGGTAGTGACAAATTCTTATTTTCTCTCCCATCATTGGCTATCAATCAAGCATAAAGGCGTGGCATGCTGATTGGGTTCTCTTTATTTTTTCTTGTGTGACTAAAGGGGATTCCCCATCCACTTTAACATTTGATGTGTTTACCCTTTTTCACAGTATTTCTTCTTCCCCTGACACTCAAATAAAAAGGTTCCAGGAAATGCCTCTTTTACTAGCCAGCTGCATAGGAAAGAAGGGGGAGGGAGGGGACTCAGTTGTGCTCTTTTGAAAACAAATCTCCCTCCCCCCCTTCCTGCATTCCAGAGGAGGAGCGTCATGGTCTTAGTAGACATTCTGTTCTCTTTTCTGTTGATTTATGGGTTCAATGCATAGATCTCTAGAAGCTGAAAAGGAGAAAAACCTGTCAAAAGACTTCGTTTTTTTTTTTTTTAAGGAGAGGGGAAGATGAAGAAATGTTTGTTTATTTTGATTGTTAAAAAGTGTCCGGGAAATCGACCCTTCCGAAAAGGGACGTCCGGATATGGGACGTTACACTGTAGTATTAAATGATATAATGATTAAATAGTATCTAAACATGAAAATGTGGAATTTTTATGACAAATAATTGTAATAGACACAAGAATTATTTAAATCGAATCTCAATAGCTGATTACTGTTACTTTAAATTTTAAGATAGATTATTTTCTAGGTATGATCTAAGAATTTCCCAGGTTTTTGTCTTCCCTTACCATTTCCTGCTTTAAGAAGCAATATAAAATTCCCTGACAATTCCAGGTTTTCCCTGTTCTTCCTCACCTGTGGGTACCCTGTAGAAGATATTTTCTTTAAGTAGCAGAAGTTACAGATAATTTTTTTAAATAAAACTTTGAATACAGAAATGTTGAGAGAATTTTAATTTTTATTTACATGCATCATGTATCACTTATTAATACTACAAAAAAAAATATGAGGCAGTTTTGAGTCATTGAATATACTACTCGTTTTAAAAAAAAAAAATTAAAAAAAGATAAGCCGAAAAATTCAAGTGTTTTTATATATGCAATGTAGTTTGGACATAAAAAAATGAAACTTCATCCTGTGTTTTTTATTAATATTTTTATAAAGTAGTACATAGTAATTTTTTTGTGTGTATATTGTGTGTAGAAAATTGCGAAATAAGTAGAATTATATTTAATTTAACATACAGGGTAGTAGATTTTTGTGTAACATCATCATCAAAAATAAAATTATATTTGTAATAGTTTAAATCTTTACTTTACAGGTTTACCCTATTAGTAAGGATATTTTTCTATTCAAATTTGCTTCATTTTTGAAGGTTTACGAAGTTGACATTTATTTTTGCTTTTTCTCAAGGACATTTATTCTATAAATAGGTTTTTTCTTAAAAATGATATTAGCTATGTAATTGCTGTTTCATATTTGCTTCAGAACCTTGCTTATTTCAGAAATTTCCTTTTGCTTTATTGATTTTTGATCCAATTTGTCCCAAACTTATTTCAATCATGTTTTAATTCATCTAGTGGAATCTTTAAATGCTTCAGAATAGTTATTTTTTAAAATTTTATCTAAATCTAAAAAAACAACACAGTCTTATAATAAAAGAAAAAAACATTACAGTCTTATAAAGAGTTTTTGAAAAATATTGGTACTAATAAAAGCTGATTTTTAAAAATTTTAGCATTTATTTTAAGTGATTTTAACGAGTTAAATTCAAAATGCACGCTTGTCATAACATCGTATCAAGAGTACCAGATTTAGAAAAAACAAGTGGAAATGGCAAAACAAAACAAAAAAAAAGAAAGAACAGGAAAAGACATGGATTTACGGGGGAATCGTCGTGAATCCTAACACGTTCAACTCAGATTCAGTTGCACATCATAATAACATATAAAACAGAAAACAGAGTTGGAAAAAACATGTGTAAAAGACTAAGAAAATTTTTAAAAAAAGCTGAAAAACAACACATTGAGGGACATGAAGTTATGACGGAATCAAACGGGCCAAAAAGTGATAAATTAAATTCAAAAATTTCACGTCTTAATAATGTTGTATAACATAGAAAAAACATCTGAAAGAAGCTGTTGCAGTCAACATGCTTCACCATGCACATCACTGGCTTCTTCAGACTTGCAATTTTATTCAGAAGGGCCACTGTACTAGTTAAATCCCGAGAAGCCTGCTTTATTAAACCCATTAGTAATATATTTCATGCATCGCTGTTCAAAACTGTAGAAATCAAATTCAGATCTTCTAGAATATTTATTTTTGTTTAGAAGAATCTTGCAGGTTACCAGAATCAAGGAAAAGAAATGATTACCCAGAGTTGGCAAGGTTTCGGATAGAATGGATTAATACACCGTTTAAACCGTCCTGTCAAAAACCTGTTTGTCTTAAATTGTCCGAAACCCTTTCATTCAAATTATGTCCCAATTTTAAAAAAAAAATATTGTGAAAAATAAAAGGTTAATTTTTGAAGAACAGGAAAAATGAAGAAGTTTTTGTTTTATTAAAAAAGATCATTATTTTTAATATTGCATTATTCATTCTTATGCAAAAACATAATTTATCAGTATTAAAAGCATATTTATTTGTATTTAAAGGATAAGGTATTCATTTTTGTTTTTCATTGAATTGTAGAGCTTCAAAAGTTATAAATCTTTTCTTATTGTATTATAATATTTTTCTTTAATTAGTAAAAGCAAATTGTATTAAAAGTATCGAATATTTATTAAAGTATGTAATTATTATGTGTACAATGATTACACATATAGAATCCTTATCTGTTACCAATGTTCAAGGTTTTGGACACTTTAAGACAGTTTTAGTCAGTTTAAAACAGTAAACCCCACATGTCTTGACCAAAACAAGTTTAGGACATCTAAAACCCAAACCCTGTGTTTACCTAACCAGTTGTTTTTAAATGGGGGTTATTCTAAGATTCAAAAGTTAAAGTTGGCTGGAAAAGATTCCCCCAGCATATTTTACAAGTTAAGCTCCCATACCTCCTTTAACCTTTTCCGGGGGGCTGTGACAGCAGTTGTCACATCTGATCTTGGAGTGCTGTGGTGGGCATGTGACACTTTCAGCGTAAGAATAGGGGAAAAAATCTCCTGCAGTTTAAAATAAATGTTCCTACATGATTTTAAATAAATATCTGCATTTCCGAAGAAAAATATATATACTTAAAACTACGCAAGAGTATTTATTCATACTTTAGGATACATAAATATTTTAAATGTCACATGCATAAATATATACTTTATAATTGCTGATGTATTTTCCATGTTTAAAAAATTGAAATCATAAATGCTATTTTTAACTTTTTTTACAAAACCATTTTCCTTTTGTGGCAATTTTCATGTTTCTTTCCCTCTTTCTACACACAGTCCAACTTTCAGTTATAGTTTCTAGAAATTCTTTTAATATCTCAGTTTTGTATCTTTTTATAAGATTAAAGCTAAATTTTTGAACAATAAAATTCTACAAATCTATTACATGAGTACAGATCCAGATTATACTTTTCGTAGGCCCTAGGCATAGCTGTTTTTGGGCCCTCCCCTCCTTCCCCCACTCCTCCCCTCTTTTCAAAATATATGCTAAAATTTTCTTCGTATGGAAACGTATTACGCCATTTTAGATGTATTAATTTCAGAAATGACTAAAAGGCGTAAAGCTTACAGTGATTTGTACGATAATTTCGGTTTTCTTGTTCACAAAAATTTGTCAGAATCTGAGATTAAACTAAAAGCGCAAAATTTGGTGAAAATTTACTCATCCGATTTAGAGGAAAACTTTGTAGATGAATTTTTACTATTTTCAAATTTGTATGAACATAAATCTGCACAAGAAATGTTGAAGGCTCAAATTAAAGATAAACTTGTGAATACTTTTCCTAACGTTCACATTGCATTAAGAATATATTTGTCGATTCTTGGATCAAATGCAGAAGGAGAAAGATCTTTCTCCAGATTAAAATTGATAAAAAATTATTTGCGTTCAACAATGAATCAAGATCGTTTGGCATCGCTCGCACTTATGTCTATTGAATACGACATTTTGCGTAGTTTGGAATTCGACAGCATAATACAAGATTTCGTTGAATCCAAAAATCTCAAAAAAGTAATTTATTAGTTCATAAGATTCTGCAAAATAATTAATTACCGAAAAATATTATATTTTTATTTGTATCTTCATAATTTTGTGCAAAATACACTTGTTTTTAAAGCTAAATTATTTTTGTCAACAAATTTTTTTCTCCCAAGTTTTTTGTAGGCCCCTGAATTTCGTAGGCCTTAGGCATGTGCCTAGTATGCCTATAGGTTAATACGCCCCTGCCTGAGTAAGTTGAAGACAATTGCGAATGACTATATTTTTTTAAAAAAATGTAAAAATGGAAGGGAAAAAAATTATATATGGTACGCAGTTTCAATAAAATGCTTACTTTTCATGAAATTTGCAGCAATATAAAAGAAATGAGCCAGATTGTTATATGTTAATCATTTACAACTGAAGCACATTAACTGAAATATTTATGAGTTTTCGCGTTTTTGGAACTATTTTAAAAAGACAAAGGAAATTGAAGAAAAATATTGTTAGAAATTTAGAACGCATATTAGATTCTAACTATGGATTAGTTCATGGGATAAATGTGCTAAGAATAGTGTTTTAAATTTAGAGTTCAGTTAACGCATAAAATGTTTTTAAAGGAATGATTTAAACTATTATATACTCTTTAGAAAATTAATTCAAAAATTTTGTATGTTTATTTTTAAATAATTAACATAGTTATTATAGTTTATAATTTTTTAAGAAATCTTAAAAATTTATAAAATAAAAAGAATTTATTTGATAACGTAATTTTCAATCGAAATGATCTTACTTTCTTAACAAGAGAGGATCTTTCAAATTAAGTTAGTTTCTAATTAAGTTAGGGCAAAATAATCCTCATTTACCTTGCTTTCTTATTTCATTATTATTATCAATAGTAATAATAATAATAAAAAAATGACTCTGATGAATAAAGAGAAAAAATATTTATCATTTATTGAAGTGTTTTCATAAGTCGATAGATGAAAAAGATGAAAATAAAATAATTCAGTCAAAGAAATAATATCAAATTAAATTTCCTATATTTTCTTTTCCATCAGCTATGACTTAAATCCATTCACTAATAACTCAGACCTATCTACAAAAATATGACATTACAGCTATTTATGTTCTTTCCTAAGATTTATTATCTTTCGATAAGATATTAAATTTTCAGCAATATTACAAATATTTATTAATTAAAATATTTATATTTATAACGTATAATATAGATATTTATAATTAAATAAATTAAGACCACGAAAAAGTATGCATGCAAAAATTGATTCAAAGAAAAATCGATTTTACTCGCGAACAAAAAGGTTTTGACCCGATTTCACAGCATGAAA